AGGGTGTGTCGCGAGCACCAGAGTCCCAGCTGACCTCTCACTCAAGAAGTGAACAACAAGTTTCCACCGCGCTTAAATATGTCTAGTATCCCATTTTCCTCTTTCAAAAAAAATAAAAAAGGAGAAGCTAGAGGGTGCACATTTTACGCCTTTAGTCTTGGGGACTGTCTAAAAGCCAACTGGAACGTTAATTATTGGCAGTACAAAAAACTTTAACGGCAGCCGTTATCAAAACGGGGAACATGAACTGATTAGGCAACCCCCAGACACGCGTGTATGCAGTGCAGTCTAATGTGGAAGAAGGGGGGGCTTCTTCGAGCAGAAAGTGCGTTTAGTTGGTTTAGTTACCCAGGTCCTCTTGATGAGGTTGTGCTTTGGCGACACTCGTTGATAGAATCTTGGGTCCATGCATATAAGTGAGACTTTTTGATATGCTACCGCGCGCTTTGCGTAGTTTTGCTGTAACTTGGCTGTAACTCAAGGCTGTAAGCGACGATACTTTGCACGTTTTCGAACGCGACGCGGGAAGTCCGAGAAGTATCGAGAAGAAGCCCGGGGCCGTCCAGAAGGCCGTGCATTCGCAGCGAACAAAAAAAGGAAAAAGAGAAAGACGCACGCAGCGCATGCGCAAGCAGAAGAAAACCGTGCTAGCAGACCGAGTTCTTTCTTGTATTTTTCGGAGGGATTATTTCGCTTTAGCAGACTTTATTGACATTCAAAATCTAGTGTGTATTTAATGGATGAAGTACTAGAATAGTAAGTATTTTAATAAAAACTAACAATGACGGACTTTACTCAAAGCTATCGCTGTTTCCAAGTGTATACCTAACACCTCTACGTCGCTGCACCTAACCTCTCTTCTTCACAGATTCGCAAAATCTGAACTAGTTTTCGATCCAGGATGTTTCCCCCTGGTTTTGCGCTATTAGGGACGCAGCCGTATTGTGTTGTCTCGTGCTGACGTGCACCTCTGCCCCTTGCTAGAGACTTGTGCTGCAGACAGCAGTGAGCATCGCCTAGTACTCGCTGACTTAAGGGCGCCTATGGCTCGGTGACATACACCATCGGGCTTGACTCAAACTCATATATCTCTTTGCATTTGCTTCTGATTCTAGCTATGTCATGTGATGAATTCAAGCTGGTGACATCGAGACGACGCGGCAAGAAGGTGAAAAGGGTCGCTGTAGCTTGTTCACATAACAAGCAAGGAGAGACGGACATCAGCGTCAACGTCAAAGAAGAAATACTGTAAGTAATTAGAGGTTGTCTCTGTAGTTCGGAAGCTTCACTCTGTTATGTATGGCTAAATTTTCACTAACTGCTGGCATGAATACACTGGCTGCTCTTCAACCTCTTCTAGTGTTGACATATGTACTTTTACAGGAAAATTAACCATGCGAGAACTGTGGTCAATGAATCACCATTCACTGAAGGAGTGAAAAATGTTTTGCAAGAAGCTTTAGATGTGTGTGGAACCAAATCTGTATCAGAAATCATTTGTTATGGTTTGGGTCATTTTACTGAATGCACTATTTCACGTTATCAACTAGCATTACTTCTTACTCTACAGGAACGGTTCAAAGCAACTGTCCATGCACATGATCCTGTGTTTTATGTATGTGAACTTAATATTCTTAAGGAGTTAGGCTTTTTTATAATTGAGGAGAACGAAGAAGGCAAGCGCCTGTTGAACACTCCAGATACAACCTTATTATACTTACCACACTGTCCCAAGCAACTTGTGAATAATTTTCTTTGGAAAAATTGGGGTCCCACTCTGAGTAAATGCATCATTTTTGGAAATAGCATTTCGTCAGCAGTCGACCGATCAGTTTTAAGTGATTGTGATTTAACAGCTTTTCTTGTGAAAATTCAGCCATACATCAATGAATTTCCTATTGTGAACAATTTTAAATTTTTGGATGTGTTCAATGACACCTCTGTTCATGTTTTCCCAGAGGACAAGCTTTGTGAGGTGCTGCCCTCCTTCTGGTCAGAGAACTGCCTGGAGCCTGTGTACCCCGATAGTGACCTAGAACTTATTATAAAGAAGCAATGAATTCCCCTACCGCTGGTAAAGTCCTCAAGCAACTTGCATCGGAGGTTCGTTTGCATTCATCTCACCCGAAGATATGCAGTGATTCCCAATTGATGAAGTACATTCTCAGCCAGTACGAGCGCTACAAGGTAACTGATCAGCAGCTATGCAAAGCCCAAGAGGAAATGAGCAGCCTTGCTAAAACTTACCTGTGTTATCTACAAAGCACGCGACGTACTGCGGAAATTCGGCAAGTATACAAAGGAAAGGGAGAACGATCTGTTCAGGAAACTGCTGATATGGTTGGTTTCAAACTACCACATGATCCAAAATGAAATAATTTGTGTTCTCTCTCTGATAGTGAGTCTAGTCACTCTTTTCAGCATCATGGGGCTGACATCTGTGTATCTCATTTTATTCCTTAGCTCGTTAATATGTATGGATGCAAGACTTGAGAATGAATGTGGAATAGGTCAGTTTAAAATTCCTGGCTTAGAAAAGTGTCACGACTATCTAAATTGTTCTGATTTAAATAATATTAAAATAGGAAAGAGAATTGGAATTGGTTCCACTAAAATAGTGCATTTGGCCGAATGGAATGGTCTAGATATTGCACTATCACAGCTGGTGAACAAGAATTTCACAGCTGATTTTGATCATGGTCTAGAAATGTTGGAAAAATTAAATTCCAATCGTTATGTAGTGCAATTAGTTGGCTTCTGTAAAAAAGCGCATCTACTTGTAACTGAATATCACAGATTAGGAAATGCAACTTCCATTCTATCTGTAATTGATAAAAAGTATGGGAGTAATAATGTTATCATTCGATTAAAACTTTGTTTAAATTATGCTCGTATTTTGCAACTTTTACATGATGGTCCTGCTGGCACAAGAGTCATGTGCGATTCAAATGATCTACTTAAGCTACTTAGTCAAATGTTGATAACAAATGATTTGGAACTAGTTCTTAATGACTTAGACGCTTTGCCAGTTGTTGACAAAAATTCAGGAATCAAAGTTATATGTGGGAGTAAAGAGTTGTATGGAGACTTCGTTGCTCCAGAGCAGAAATGGCCTTTCAATGGACCATTCAAACTTGCAGCAATGCCAAGTTACGATGAAAAAACTGACATTTGGAAAGCAGCTGAAGTCTTCAAGTACTTTATCAGCAATATTGATTCCACTTATGATTGGGTGCAGTACCGCTTGTTTAATTTGTTCAAAACTTGTAAAAGTCCTGAACCTCACCTAAGACCCACTGCTAAATATATAGTTTCAGTATTGGAAAAAATTGTAGCTGAAGTGTCTTTAATGAAAACAGAATTGTAATATAAAAAAAATCACTTTGAATCTATTTCAATTGTTAAATTGTTATGTGCTTTTCTCATGTGTGCTGGTGCAACAGTAAATACTTGCAGCTTAAATCAACAATTATCTCATTGTAAAATTTTATTTTTTAAACCTTACATCCTAAATCACATAGCCAACTTCAGTCCATTTCAATGTATTGACGGATTAATCTTAAAAGTAAGTTTAGTACTAGACCTATATATTTTTCTTATCAGTTAAATTTTATGAAACATACTCCTTCTCCAACATTTTTGCAATAGTATTAAGTTGGATATTAGAAGTACCTTCATAGATTGATCCTATCTTACAGTCTCTATAATACTTTTCTTGGGGGAAGTCTTTTGTGAACCCAACGCCTCCCATCCATTCCACGCACTTTGATGTCGCCAGCTGAGCCACCTCTGAAATTTTTTAAAATTATTAGACACTTACTTCTGGCAGCTCTTAAAACAGGACATCAAGATAATGTTTTTTTACTTACCACATGCCCAGTATTTTGCCATTGCTCCCTCCTTAATGATGTCTTTTCCAGCATCATGCAGACGGGCTGCATTGTATACTAATAATCTTGCACTTTCAATCTGAGTTGCAATTTGAGCAATTTGATGTTGCATACCCTAGAAAAGAAAATAATATATCAGCATTTTACCCTTCCAAAATATTGCTTTGGTCATACTGGTGTGGTAAGCCCACTCACTTGGAAGTCAAAAATTCTCTTGCCAAACTGCTTCCTCTCCAGGGTGTATGGAATGGTGGCATTGAAGGCTCCCTGGGCACACCCAATCATCTGGGCACCGATACCAATTCGACCTTCGTTTAGCACCTCAATAGCGTACTTGTAGCCCTTTCCGACCTCTCCAAGCACGTGGTTGTTGGGAACCTGAGGGAAGAAATGAATGACAATAAGGACAACGGTGAAATGGGAATGGGGAATGGACTTGGCCGCGAAAGGGGAAGTTTGCTTCCTCACCTTGACATTGTCGAAGTGCACCATACAGGTCCCAGACGCCCGGATACCCAGCTTGTCCTCCTTCTTGGCGACGGTGAGCCCGGGGGTGTCGCGATCCACGATGAAGCAGGTGATTCCCTTGTAGCCCTGAAACAGGAAACCAAAATGCGTTTGTGCGCGGGACTATTCAAGGCCAGAGCCAGAGAGCGTGTGCGACGGGGTGCCACCAGCTTACCTGCTCGGGGGCCACGTTGGCCATGACGAGGAACACGCCCGCGAGGTCCGAGTTGGAGATCCACATCTTGGTGCCGTTGAGGACCCAGTCGTTGCCCTCCTTCCTGGCGGTGGTCTTGAGGGCGAACGCGTCCGAGCCGGAGGTGGGCTCCGTCAGGCAGAAGCTGCCCACCATGTCCTGGGCGAGCCTGGGCAAGTACTTGGCCTTCTGCTCCGGGGTGCCGTGCTTGCGAAATGGGGCGTTCACCAGCGTCTGGTGGATGTCACAGAACGCGCTCACCGACGGGTCGACCTTGGCGAGCTCCTCGACGACGAGCATGCACGTGAAGAAGGACGACTCGGTGCCGCCGTACTCGCCGTCGACCTCGATGCCCATGAGGCCGTTCTCGAACAGCTCGCGCACCACGCTCGGGTCCAGGGTGGAGGACTCGTCCATCTGCCGCACGAGGGGCTTGATCTTCTCCTCGGCCATCCTCGCCACCGTCTCCTTCATCATGATCTCGTCGTCAGAGAGGAAGGTGAGGGGCAGCGAGCCGCCGACGGGCACGTGCTCGGGGGCCTCCTGCGCCTGGGCGCGCGCGCTGTGGGGCCGCTGCGCCGACGTGGAGGCGGCGGCCGCCCGCACGCCCGCGAGGGCCTCCCTCCGGGCCGCGGCGCGCGTCCACAGCGCCGAGGTGCCAGCGGCCACCTGTGTGGACCAGACAAACAGGTACGTGGCTGAGTACACAAACACAAGAGCTTCTGCGCGTCGTCGCCAAGGGGCCCGACCACGCCCGGGGCCGCGACCCGCGACCCGCGACCTTCAGAGGCGCGGGACGGTGGCCGCCTCCGCGGGGGACCGGGTCGTGGTGGGGCAACAACAATTTCGCGGCTGCGATAACACCCACCCGCCCGGGCGATAACATATCCCATCTGACACAATGTTGGATATTGCTAAGTAGCTCGCGCGTGTGTGGGTGTGTGTGGGTGTGTGTGGGTGTGTTGCATACGACACGTTAGCAGCCGTTACATCAGGAGGGTTGTTTATCTAGAGAGTGAGAGTGCAGCGAAGCGCGGGGCTGCGCGTGTGGAACTGTGTCAAAGACACAGCTCCGGCAATCTGGTATAGATTGTCAAGATTGTCAGATTGCCAGCCGAATATTTTGCTCTTTTGGGGCATAAAACACCTGCCTGTAACCAGGCAAAACGCACTACTTGCACGGCAAAAGAGCATGGCCTTTTGGAGCAGATTGCCTGTACTGTAGAGATTGTCGAAGATCATCGTAGATTGCCAGAGCGGGTGCTGTTGTACGTACACTCTACTAGGGAGTTGGGGCCTCCTCGGTAAAGCATTTCTAAATCAGAGGATAGGGCGGCGGTAAAAGGTGACGCGAAGTCGGGGGTGGCCTGGCCGTCACTTGGAGCAGTGGCCATCGCCCCCCCCCCCCCATACACACCTGAGAGTCCGGGGAGGGAGGTTGGGGGAAGAAGGGGGGTAGAGGGAGGTTGGGGGAGGAAAGGGGGTGGGGGTTGGAGGGTGGAGGATGCTAGGCGGCCGAGCCGCTCCACGTGGCACCCCCTGGACGACGTCCCGCGAGCGGGGAAGGCCCACGGACGCGCACCCTTGCGGCGTCTGCTAGAGACGTCCCCCCAGCCCGTCAGGATATTTCAATCTATTTGTCGAAGTCGGGACCACCGGGCCAGCGGTGGCCGCGGCGGTGGCGTAGTTCAAGGAGACCACAAGGGTATAGCCTTGGACGGACGCTCGTGCGTGAAAAACAAAACCCACAAAATGTTAACTCGCGGCGTCGGGATGTCGTGCTGGAAGATGAAAAACACCTTTTATCCCCACCCTGCCCTCCCTCCTCTTTAGGGGGGGGGGGGGGTGATCAATTCCGTGCAGAATTTAGCTATCAATCGGCTGCTAATATAACGTGACGGGTTACATAAAATTAAATTCAGCTGCACAAACAAACAGCGGCAAAGCGTGTGGCGCGTGGGCCAGGTCTGTTGGCAAGGACGCCGGGTTGCTATCCAATCGATACCATACTCATGTGCTGGTCTGAGGGAATGGTCCAGACTCCAAGCAGAGCAAGCCGTACACCTGCTGCTGCTGGAGCCCCGGGGAGGATGGGAAAGGGGGGAGGGGGG